CAATAGTGTCGTTAAATCTATTTGTGTTGCCATGAGTAGCATAGCTGTACAGCTGCTGGTACAAGCGCAAGTTATCAGCATAACCATCTGTTTCTTCAAAGTCCTGTGTTCGATGATGCGCTTCTATTTCCTGTGATGGTAGTTCCGTTACAGACTGTACCTCCCTATTAGTTAACGGCTCCATATATGGACTTCAACGTTGCTTTCCGATCTGCACAACGTTGCAGAGAACGATCAATGAGTGACTATGAGTGCCCTCTTAATTATATCAACTTAACTATATATATGTATATATATGATTACAGATAATTAAGTAATTAGATACAATCAAGGTCTGAAACGTACTTACCGAAAAATGATGGAGGTGGAGGAGCTCAAGAGAGAGAGGGAGAGGGCGAACAATAGCTTGCTTCACTTGAAATGAATACAGTACTAGTTCTACACTACAACTCAATATGTCGCTTGGGAAACCCTAAACTGCATTATTTGTTAGAAAACTAGTAACTGCTGGAGGAAGCCCACCAGGTCTAGCAAAACCAACTAGGTCCTCATGAATGTGATGCTCAGCCGTTGGATCTCTAAAAAGAATGGACAGTTGATGTTGGATTAGCAAAACCACCTAGTTAAAATTGATTACTATCATGAATCGCTAGCAACCAAAACAATGAGAAAATGAATCAATGACTACTTACCTGAAAGGGTAAAAACTTGGACAATTAATTGCCGACAAAACCAAAAGAGGTGGTCCCAATTTGTTGGTCAGATGACTTTTGCGCTTTGTAAAATCACTTTTAAGAACTCTGATCAGACAATGTTAAGGAATCAACAGACATGGCTGAAAGCTATGGGTGGTGTGGTGGTGAGCAAAGCTCCGTACAAGTAATAATCACTGACCATGAAAAATCAAAGATGATGAATGGACTCAGTCATTGTAAGCCAACATACATGTGAGGGATGTCTGCGGTTCAGCTATCTGATTGTAAGAGTCTGATTGAAGCTGGCACATCATCAGTCACTCATTTTATTGCACACAAGAGATTTTACATTGGAGTTACAATATTCATTAGCTTATTATTTGGAGTGAGTAATGAAAATTGATATAACGTAAGTACACTCTCTCTCTCCATAGGTTTTTGTTTTTGGCTATCTTTCGAGCATAAGTTTGAAAATTGTATTGTGCAAGTTTAATTGGGCATCGCTTTCTTTCTCTTACTTCCTTCACTTGGATTGATTTCTTCTGGCCTTTGTTTTCTTTGTGGCTGGATGGGCACCCTTTCATTTCCTTGTGTGGTTGGGGTCCTTGTTATATATTTATTATCTCTTTATCTTTCTGTGATGTAAGGTCATCTTCAAGTGAAGAGGGCTATATTTAGTCCTCTAATAAATGATTTTATAAGAAACGTGATTAGTCCTATAGATTTCAGATCAGATTTTTTTCTTGTAGTCTTTGTCTTGTTTTAAAAACAACTTAAAAATTAATTTAAATAGAAAAAAGATGAAGGATAGTTGTAAAAGAATGAAGAGAACGTGAGAAATTATGTAAAAAGATGAAATTGATGAAGAATAATATGTAAAATGATGAAGATG